GCACACCCTCACTGGTCCACACCACCCTCCACGTCCACACCAACCCACCGTCCACAACCCTCACCGTCCACACACACCCTCACCCGGTCCCACACAACCTCCACCGTCCACACCACCTCACCGTCCAAGACCACCCTCAACCGTAACACCATCCCTCACGCGTCCACGACCACCTCACCGTCCACAACACCTCACCGTCCCAACCACCCTCACGTCACACCACCCTCCCCGGTCCAACACCCTCACGTCTCACACCACCCTCCCGGTCCACACCACCTCACCGTCCACACACCCTCACCGTCCACACCACCCTCACCGTCCACACCACCCTCCACCGTCCACACCACCTCACACGTCCACACCACCCTCACCGTCACACACCCTCACCGTCACACACCCTCACCGTCCACACCTCACGTCACACCACCCTCACCGGTCACACCAACCCTCACCGTCAACACCACTCTTCACATCGACCGTAACCCACCTCCACATCACCACCAACCTAACATACGCTAGTAGAACGCACCAACGCCAGCGCCACGCGGCAAACACCTTCACCACCACTGACAACGTCGTTGCCACCGATCCTCTCCGTCTCCACTCCGCCGCCGGAAGGGAAACAGGAAGACCCGCCACGCGCCACGACGCTCGCCCAGCTGACGCAGCGCACCTCCGCTCACGCCCGCATGCCGACGGCCGCCGCCCCACTGCGGCAGAAGGCGACCTGGGCAGCAACCGCGCGTTTTGTAGTGCTCAAGGACTGTTTACAGAGCTCGCCACTAACAGAAGAGAACAAACGTCGCGTGCTGCAGAACTAGAGTTGAAAAAGCTAGAGGGTATTGCTTCATACTCCGGAATTAGTTTTGTTAATTTTTCTTATTAATATTATTATATCGCCGCCCTAACTTATACCAGAAATTAAATGACAAACGCAAAATATATTGTGATCTAATTGAACTAAACAACCGGTATTGTTCGCAAAATAATAGGATCAATTTTTAGTCTAAATGGCCAATAATGGAATGAGCCAACTACTCTAGGTTTTGTGCAGATATTAAATTAAATATTCCATAAAAAGATATTCAGCTACGATTCAGACAGACGTAACATATAAATTCAAGCATTAGAACTCAGCATTGAAGCATTTACATTTGCAACAAAAAAATACCACGTTCTTATTTCAAATGTATGTTCCAAACGTCAACAGGCTATATTTAGATACTTATTTATGACTTACTGATTGAATTTTAACTGGGAGATTAGTTTATGACACCTTTATAATGAAATTCTGGGATCGTCCTCACTCGTTTTTACGCATTGCAATGAATGAAGTTATATATAAGAAGGAGAGTGTTTTCATCGAATTTTTAAAGTAATTATATTCATTTTTCATTGGGGTAGTAAAAACAAACAGTCCTTGTATATAAATTGTATTACCAATTCAGAAATAATAAAAGGATGGTGGGGTCAGTGGTTGGTGCGTTTCCAGTATGTTATGATGATTTTCACAGACAACTCTATTATTATATTATTATTATTATTATTATTATTATTTTATTACGTATGTAATATATATTAATCATATAATAGATTCATATACTGTAATATTATCTCCACAAAGAATCTTCAATAAATCTTTTACGGCTGTTTTGTTCTTACTATTAATTCTCAAATTTTTTGCTCATTCACGAGCAATCACGGCGTGTGGTCGTGTTATTCGTTAGCAATCGTTATTGGCCCAGACTTCTTTTCATCCACTCACCCGCCCTTTGACGCCTGCTCAACGAGGTCAAACGGCCTGCTGCTCTCCGAGCGTTTTGCCTTCTCAACCGCTGCCACTCCTACGCCAGCCGCCTCGTCTCGCGCCACCCCGCGCCACCCGCCCACCCGCGCCACACCGAGAGCGCGCGCACCCGCGCCCCGCGCCACCCGCGCCACGCTCCGTCCATTTCGCCACGTCGAGCTCAAAGCTACCCTTCCCGCCCACCCGTCGGCCCGCGCTCCCCGCCGGGCTTCAAAGCGCCGCCTGACCTCGAGCGACGGGGCGACGAGTTAGCTGGCCACCGGAGCCGCAAGCGCTGGCGCCGCTCGCTTCACTGCCACGCCAGCGCAAACGCGGCCCTTGTCAGCCCGCGTCAGCCTTTCTGGGTCCCTGCGGTCCGGGCGAAGGGCACGCATAGGGGGTTCGGTTCGAGTGGATGGAAAGGTCGAGTAGTTTGTCATTCGGAACTCATTGACATTATTAATCCTGAGCAATCGATATGAATAATGAGTTGTAGGTGATGAATAACTCAAGCGTTGAAACGAAATAAGAAATGAAGCCTGTTGGATGAATCAAAACAATTCTTAGACTAGTGACGGTGGTCCACGATGTTCTATCTCTAAGAGCTATGTTGTAAGGTTTGACCTTTTATAGGAGTGAATATTTATATCTCTATCAGTCGAAACAAGAATGGTTTCACTGTGTCTAAGCAAATTTCACCATACCTAACGTCTTTTGCCATTGACAGCAAAATTGGGAAATAATTTCAACAATTTTCACTCTCAACTTTATTTAAATTAATTGACTTGGGCAGGAGATATCTTGAAATTCTTATTGATTAAAATTCAACTAAAATTAAACAATTACATGCTAACTTGAACCCCGAAACCTTACGGAGATAACATGCTTTAATTCTAGCATTAAAAAATAAAATGGAAATCATTGTAATTCAATGCGACTCAATAAGTTAATTATTTTATTTTAATTACACCGTGGCTTACGCAGATCTTTCCACGCTCTGTGCCTCGGAGATTCAGATTTCTTGTGGAAGACAGAGACTGCGCCGGGACAAGAAATTGGATAGTTCTTAAAACTTACATCATTATGGTCACGCAGAAAGATCCGCATGATCTCAAGTTCTAACGCTTTTGGGGAATGTTTTCGCTAAATTTTGTTCCTGATCATTATGCATAGTACGAACGCCGTGAATCTACACATTTTCTTCCAAATTTGGAATTGATATGAGATGAATCGATAAACTTTGGCTTTACAATTTGCATTTATCAGAAGAAACAACATCCAGGCTTCTCGTAATCGTTTCACATTCTTAGTATTAAAACTGTCAATTCTATAACACAAAAAGCAAAATTGAAAATAAGTCAAAATTTTTGCAGTATTATGAAGTTTCTCTCATATTTCCGAAACATTTTCACATTGTTTCTTTTAACAATCAACTCTTCGGTTAAAATGTTGTGAAAATGCATGGTTTCAAAAGCTTTTTTTTACTTTGTTTCAGAATAAAACGGAAGAAGGCGACTTCGACATTGGTTGTGGAAATGAGTGCAAGATAGAACAAGTAAGAAAACACCGTTCTTTTTATTTATTATTTGAGTAGAATTATTGGTTGTATGGTGTTTATTTCGCAAACATAGCGATATATGTGCACAGAAACTATTTTAAATTCAGTTTTGAAAAATGTTTTAGGACACTATAACATTGTTTTTATCTTTATCTTGGACATATTGATCTCATTTTACATAAACTTACGAAATTCACGACATCTAAAATTTAAAAAACCTTACTGAAAATTAAATTATTTGATGTATGATTTCAACATTAACATTTAACTGCTGTCTCCATAATTCGCATCATTTCTCACGTAATGGAGGAGTGATAATTAAAGGAAGAAAAAAATAGAAAACATTATAATTGGATCTATAAAGATAAGCTTATCATCAAAAGTAAACATACTAATATTGACGCGTCAAATTATAATCGCACATTATTTACCAAAGCGCTCTAAATGTTGGCGATTCAACTACAATGCGAAGTCTAGAGTTAACAAAAGGGGCAAAAAATCTAGAGTTAAAGTAGAAAAAAGAAAGGCATTATATGGGAAAGATATTCGAAAGAACCGTGTTATTTATCCATCAATCGTTTCTATTATATTTTTCACTTACTGACAGGGTGAAAGTATCTAATCGGGTGGAAAAAATAGTGTCACCCTGAATGATTAAACCTTCTTAGTGTGATGTTAATCTTTTCTATTGGTCAGTATATTACGTTTTTAAAACGTGTTTTGATAACGGATTTACATACAAGGCTGTGCATGCAGCTAGAGATAAAACGATATGCGTATCATTCACACGCAATTTCAGCTGATTACGCACGACTTATATTTTCCTACGCAACGCGCGTGAAAGGTTTGTCACGTTTAAATTCATGTTGATACTAATCTTCAATTTTAGCTGGGAACACTGTGTATGGTGTATGAGAAGGTAAAACGAATGAGATATAGTAAAATGATCTTGAATTAAGGTTTTCCAGCTCTAAATTAACTTAGTTTGAGTCAAAGTTCTCATTTATTTTGTTGCACTCCCCTACATTTACAGCTTTAATTCTGTATACAGATGAAATTGAGCGTTCTTGCCAAGAGTTGATAAGAAAATATTGGCTTCCGTGCAACAAAAAACATTATTACAAAAAATGAATAAATATATTTAAAAGTATTGCTCAACAGAAAAGAAATAGTTGCTTAATATCGTCAATTGGTTTCATTTTCGGTTCCCTGTTCGTGACGCATAGAGGTTTGGGTTAAGTATGGATTGAAATTATACTTCTTGAACCCTGAAAGAATTGCAATACCACAAGCCGCTTTTAATCGAGAACCATTCAAGAGCTTTTTATGACTACAGCTAAAGCTTCTGAATAAATATAACGTGTATGAAATGCGCTGAATACATCGCATAGATTCTAAAACTTCAAATTTAAAATCGCAGATTTGAGAGATACATTTACACCTATTACATCAGACATTGCATTTTCCAAATCAACGGTGAGTCTGTAAACTTTAAAATTCGATTCTTAATTTCACACTCCATTAAATTATTTATTCTTAATCAAATTA